TGTCATTCAGACTGGAGAAGTGAGGCTGGATGACAGTAAAGTGACTGTAGATAGATAAGACTGATGGGGTGAACTACCAGCAGGCCACACAGAGCAGACATACAGACCAGCTACAAGTACCTTGGTATCCCACAGTCACATGGGAACCATGATGAGGAGGCAAGGAAGACGGCAACATCCAAGTACTACCATAAGATAAGACAGGTCCTGAAGAGCCAGCTCAATGGGAAGAATAAGATCCACGCCATCAACATGTACACCCTGCCGGTCATCAGATACCCTGCCAATATAGCGAGCTGGCCAAAGGTGGACATGGAGGCTGCCGACATGAAAACCCAGAAGCTCCTCACAGTGTATGGAGATTTCCACCCCAGGTCCAAAACCCAGAGACTGTACACCAGCTGGAAAGAGTGCAGGCAGCATCTGATGAGTGGCAAAGACACTGTCCTGGATGAAACCCAGAGCATCCAGGAGTATATCAGTAAGATGGTACCCAAAGATGAGCTGCTGAGAGAATGTCTGAGGCAGCAGCAGACATGGGAGGAAGTTCAAGCAGAGGAAGTGCCATGGCAAGACAAGACCCTGCATGGGATGTACAATCAACAGCTAGCTGAGGTGGCTGACACTGGGAGATCCTACCAGTGGCTGGAAAGGGCTAGACTAAAAGACACAGCAGCAGAAGAACAGGCACTAAGGACCAAATCCATAGAAGCAGGGGTCTACCACACTAGACAGGACCCAAGGTGCAGACTGGAGAGAGGCCTCAGAAACAGCCCAACACATGGTGGCAGAATGTAAGATGCAGGCAGGAACACCATACACTGAATGGCACAACCAAATAGCTAACACTGTGTACAGGAACATCTGCACAGTATATGGGCTACTCTCTCAAGTCCAGATGGGATATTCCACAGAAGGTTGTAGAGAATAACAGGGCTATGATCCTGTGGGACTTCCAGATCCAGATGGACAGGCAGGTACTGGCCAGTCAACCAGACATCGTGGTAGTAGACAAGGACCAGAAGACAGTGGTCGTGATAGATGAAGCAGTGCTAAGTAACAGCAACATCAGGAAGAAGGAGTATGAGAAGCTGAAGAAGTACCAGGGCCTGAAGGAGGATGTGGAAAGTAAAGGCCAAAGTGGTCCCAGTGGTGGTAGGAGCACTCAGGGCTGTGACGCCTAAGCTGGGAGAGTGGCTCCAGCAGATCCCAGGAACAACATAAGAGCTCTCTGTCCAGAAGAGTGCAATGCTGGGAACAGCTAAGATACTGTGCAGAACCCTCAAACTCTCAGGCCTCTGGTAGAGGACCCAAAATTGAGGAAGACACATACCACCCACAGGGGTAAAGG